GAGGCTCGGGCCTTGGAGGAGAATGGAGCTGCTGCTCGCGTTTGGGCAGCGCTTTCTGCGCTGGGGTCGTGCGTTCTTGACGGGCTGTAGGGGAGAGTGCGGGGAAGAACACGAGTAACTTCGGGGAATACGAGTAACTTTGGGAAACACGGGTAACTTCCTTGCCGTGCTTTGCGCTCCTGGTTACGCGGTGGCGGTGTGACCCACTTGTTACTAGCTGAACAAGTCCTCTAGAGCGGTATCGTGAATCTCGAAGCAAAAAGTGCCTCTTGAGAAACGTGGCAACAAACTAGTCCTGTAAAAGTTGGTCTAGTAATGGCCGTGAAAGAAACAAGCTGTGTGATTGCAGAGTAGTTCTGCTAGCCTTAGCATTCAGGACTAAGATCGTTTAAAAACAAACGAAACCATGTGACGTTAAACATAAGTTACTGTGGTTAAGAGGGGGTTTATTTTCATTCTGTATTACAGCCGTTACAATTATCCTGGATCAGAGTTTTGCCCTCTCTCCTTTCAAAAGTGAGAGTGGACAATCGTGCTAGGAGCCACTTGATTCCATTAGATGCAGCTTTAAATAAAGCCGTTGTATATCCTGTGAAGTGGAAGTCGGTAACAGTGCTGAAAGCATCCCAATGTTGTCATTGGATCATTTTCTTAGATCTTACTTGGGGTGAGGCGGTCAAAGGAATGTTTATGCTAGGTCGATGTTCATTTAAAATCGGGCTGGTGCAGGTGTGGGGGAGCTGCTGTATACCTTTTGTTCTAGTAAATACCAGCCACCTTTGCAATGGGCTGGGCTTATACATGAATAGTGAGGTAGGACTGGGAGCAGAGCTAACTTGAACTTGGTTCCAGTCCCATTAACTCTCATGACGTTTTGGTAGCTCATTTTCTGATTATTGCCATCACCTGTCTGAACATCTGAACACCTGGGATAAAAAAACCCACCTTGGAGCAAAAGACTTCTAAATGATTTAGCCTTAAGCTTAAATTGCTGTTACTGCTTCCTACATAGGCAGAGAGAGAAAGGAATCTGTGCTGGTGAAGTAGCATCTTGCTGATCAGCAGCAGTGTGTCTTACAGCTTCAGCCCTCTAAATTTGTGAGAAAGAATGTAGGTGGGTGATGTCAGATGGGACAGCTATCAAAGCTGTTGAGGTCCTGTTCTGTGGAAGAGCATTAGCCTCCGAAGAGCAGGCAGCAAGACGAGCATTGTGCAGCTGGGCTGTTGGCTCATGCTGTGCAGAGCTGTGCTCCAGCAGCCTGGCTGAGTGCAGGCTCGTCCGGCCTGGCCGGGGTTCCTGGTGTGGGCCCCACGGGGTCCCTGGGCAGGCCTTGCTTGGGGGGACTGTGGTGCAGGCTTGGGCTGGCCAAGGGCTGCTGCCCTGGGTCTGCCAGCAGTGTAGCCGCTTCAAGAAATGCTTGGGAGGATGGATTTGGTGACAGCTGTTATCAACAGTTTCACATTGTGTTGTGGTATAAATTTGTCAGCCTATGGGAAGATGGCTGCCAACAAGGATGATGGTTGGGAGAGCACTGGGCAACTGCAAACTGCAGTGTCAACCTGAAGAAAGACTGAAAAGGGTGATTCCAGCATGAGTGTTGCGAGTCAATACCTCAGTTTCTCTGTGGTTTGTCTGGCAGTGTTCTGATGAAAGGCACATCCTGGGTTATTTCAAATCTGCTGCTTTGCCATAGGCAGTATGTGGGCTGTTTGGTATGAGATGAGAAATTGGCTCGGAAAACTAAGAAAAAGTTGTCACTTGGTTTACAGAAGTCCTTCTATGGAGCATGGGATTATCCAGAGGGTTATTACTTAATTTTTATGGTCACTGGGAGTCTTGAGTTTTCAAATTAAGTAATGTGATGTATGATGTAGCAATGTCTTTATAGGAGAAAAGAAAATAATTGCACTCAACTTACTTGCCCAAAAAATATATGCAAGTTTTCAAAACTGTTGATTTCTGCTGCTTTCCATGGCTATGTGTAGTTTCACTATGGATAATACATGTTAAAGAATTGTTGAATTTGCTGTTAAAACAACTGCTGATATTTTGAAATTCATACTGTTCACTAAATTTGCTTTAGCAGAAACCTGGCAAATGAAGATGTAGTTCATTTTGTGTGTGTGTTTCTATTTGACAGACTTGTTTTTTCCCCCTCTTCAACACTCACATTTTAAAATTTCAAATCACTTTGCAAAGTTTGTTCTTTGTTAGGCAGGACTTTTTACAGACTGGGAAATAAAATTATGTAAGTTAGCTGCCTTCCCAAGGTCATGTGAGGCCAAAACTTGCTCTGTTACTCTAATGCTATGAGAACAGAACTGTGCACAAAATATCTATGTGGAACTTGAATCTCTTGCTTCCTCCTCTGGCTTTTAATTACAAAACCATGAAAGCTTATTCTGAAGACCTCCATCAAATTAATTAACCCTTAATATGCATGCAGTTCTGTAGGAAAAATGTTTTGCCTTGAAGATAAATTTTCTGTGAATCACTGTACGCGTAATTTTTGGCCTTGTCTGCCTGGATGGAAAAAATAGTTTTTGTAGATACGAAATACGATATTGGCAGCATGAGCATTGAGGGGTGTTTTTCTTCTGTGTTTTTGCAGGTAAACGACCTCTGCTGGCATGTGCGCTGTCTCTCGTGCAGCGTTTGCAGGACGTCTCTAGGAAGGCATACCAGCTGTTACATTAAAGATAAAGATATCTTCTGCAAACTTGATTATTTCAGGTATATCATACAGGAATATCACTTTGTAGATAATGTATTATGCTTGCTCGTTACTTTTCACTTAAGCTGCAACTGAAATGCATGTTTAGTCTCTTTGGTTTGTATTTGTTAGGTTTATTTTTCGTAGTTAAACTTCTGTCTCTTGCTGATTGAGGATACAAGGCAGAGTTGAGATGATACTCTGTTGGGACTAGCACTCCACTGGTATGGGACTTCGGGTATTGCATGGAACTTCAAAAATGACCCAGAATAAATCCTGTGATCTTTAAAAGAAGCTTTCAGCAGTTATGCCTTTCTGTGACCAATTTGACTTAGAACATGAAGCATTCTTCGAGATTAAGGTCTAATTGTGTAAGGAAGAATATTATTTATTTGTGTTGGCATTGAAAGTACTCGTGATACAAAGTCTTTGGTCCAGAAAGTAGCAAAAATGTTTGCTGTTAATTTTGATGTGATTGCTAGCACTTACCCAGACCAAACTATTTATACGATTCTCAGCTGTGTAGTGGATGGATTATGTCAGTTTTGACACTGAAGGAGAGGGAGGGGGCAGGCTGAGTACTGTGAACTTGTGGGGGAAAAAGCAAATTTTTGTGTGACTTCAAAAAAAGAAGAGTCTGCAAAGATTTTCAGGATAAATTCTTACCTAAATAATCAACAGATCCTGGTGGCTAGTTTCCTCTTCAAAGAGAAATATTCTACTGTAGTAATGTAAATACTTGCAGATACTCGAATTTCTTTTAAAATCATAATGTGATGGTAATTAAGGAAATAACTATGAAAATACAGCTTTCCCCCCTTCTGCTGAAGGGGACTGAATGATTAGTGAAGGATGATGTAGCTAAATATGGTAATTCAGACTACCGCTAGAGTAATGTGAAATATATTTGAATAATTGGGAGAATTTTGAAAACAAAGTCAGCCCACTCACAGCTTTTTAAAGAGTAATTTTCTTTATAAAAGGAAAGATGAAGAGTTGTGAATTCACATAGCAGTTGTTTCAATTTTGCTCTTTGCCTTGTGAAAATATTAACTTCAGTAGTTTGGTAGTGGTCTTGCCTTAAGCATTCAGATGCAGACTTGCTGATTTTTTTTCTGCAATAAAAACACGATTATGCTGTCCCCTCATCCCTTGTGGTCAGCCTACTTGCTGTGGATCTCTGCTGCACTGCCACATCACAGTCGCCTCTAACCCTGCCAGAGTCACCCTTTCGTCTGAGACGTGTCTGTGCCTTCACCCTCCTGTTGCCTTCCTTCTTGCAGGCGGTACGGCACCCGCTGTTCCCGCTGCGGGAGGCACATTCATTCTACTGACTGGGTCCGAAGGGCAAAAGGAAACGTATACCACTTGGCGTGTTTTGCATGCTTCTCCTGCAAAAGACAGCTTTCTACTGGAGAGGAGTTTGCTTTGGTTGAAGAGAAAGTCCTTTGTAGAGTACATTATGACTGCATGTTGGACAATCTGAAAAGAGAAGTTGAAAATGGTAACATACTGCTTTTGTTAAGAACTATGTTTGTGGTTTAGTTTTAATTAAATCATTGGATTTTACTTCATCTGCCTTATTAAGAGGTAATTACCTAACTTCACTGAGGCTTGAAGCACAGGTTCTTGAATTAAAATAATGTGCAAATTATTTAATGTTTTAATTTTTTTTAAGTTTGTGTAACTTGTTTTCTATCCTAAGGAAAAGAAAGCAAGAGCACATCTAGTTGATAAAGTACCATGCTGGATATATTCCTTCCCTCACTTGGCAAGGGAGTCGTTTGGGGTGTAATGGGTAATGGTGCCAGATGAATTTAACTTTAAACAGAATATGGCTTTTTTTAAAGCTGAAATTCAGCTGGACAAGTACTGTTGGTTATTGTTGGAGGACAGTCTGACTTACAAATAACATTGTTTTGAATGCTTAGCAGACAGTGCTGTTTTCCTTTTAATGCTTCAGGTAATGGGATTAGTGTGGAAGGAGCATTACTAACAGAACAAGACGTTAATCATCCAAAACCAGCAAAAAGAGCTCGGACCAGCTTCACAGCAGATCAACTCCAGGTAGAGGCAGTACTAAAAACTTGTGAAGTTCAGGTTTATGCAGGATGTAAGTGCTGAACCAATAGGAAATCAGATGCATATGGGGGGAAAGAAAAAGCTTCCTTGCTTTAAACAATTTCATAAACTATCAAGACACAGCATGTTTCTGGAACTGTTTGTTAGCTTCCGCAGTTTAATATGAAATAGTTACTCTTCAAGCTTTTTATTTCCCTGGGGCCAGCCAGTAGTTCTGCAGAGTGGAAACAAAAAGGTTGTTCTATTTTGATTGCTCAATGAAATCTATTTAATCAGGCATTTACATCGCTACACATAATAAAGACAAAATATTTTTAGAATTATGTAATGTGAAAAGTTGTACTAAAGATGGGTACTGTACATGATTTCAAGATATTAACAGGATGGAAGTTTAAATTTTGTTGTAATGCCTGCGTCTGCTCTGATTTCAAGGCTTTGTGTCTTGTTTCTACCTTGGCAAGAGTTAGCTCTGGACTGCCTCCGATATGAGTTATTTCACCCTCTGGATCACCGCTTCACTTAAATTAGCTTTCTAAGGAAAACCACCATGACTAGGGCCAGCTCCCCATGAAAGGGGTCGTGGTGAGACCGTATTTAGAGGTTTCAACCTGTTGTAGAGGGAAGGAAGCTGCAGCTTTCTACCTAATCCTAGCTGTGCATCCCTTCTTTCAGTTCATAACATGTCTTTGAGTTTCTGGTCACACATGGCCACTCACTGCACCATTTGTATTCTACTGTCTCAGTCTGAGTTCTGTTTTTGTGGGCCTGTTCTCCTCTTGTTCATGGTGAAAGCAGTTGAGAAAAACTAAAGTTGATGTGTAATAACACATGTAAGGCATTTAAGCAGTTCTAAGCATGGAATGTGGCTGTTCAAAGCTTAGCTTGCCATTTCAGCCACGACTGGGGACAGAATGTGGTGCTAATACAAAACAAGTATGTTAGCAACAATCTGCCAAGGGTGCAGGGCAAGGGCTTTGGACATCAAGCTCAAACTTTTGCGAAAAGCAACTTTCTTTTCCAGCAGTAGCCGAATGGGAGATAGGCCCAGCTGTCAGGGTGGGAACTGTATTCGGGGCTTCTTCCTGTCACTGAACTTCCATGTTCCCTTCTTTTTCTGTTTTAGATTGTAACCTACTTCAGCAGGTGTTTGAGATCTTAGGGCCTCTTGTTATTGAATGACACTTGCTGTCTGCTCAGTGCATCTGTCTGTGTTACCTGTCTTTGATGCTGGTAAGACTTTACTTCCAGCAAGAAGAGCGTTTGAGGGATAAGTGAATGTCAGAGCGGCAGCATGTAGTAACACACCTCATGAAGGACTTGTGCAAAAGGATGTCCATGCTTTTTGATGTCTTTGTATAAAGCAGTAGGAAAGTAAATAGTTTCAATGTTTCTGAATGTGAAGTAGTCTGAATCTTCAATGATGATGCCAGGCAAAATTTGCAGGCCATCAAGGGTCAAAATGCAGAAATGAGAAACTACAGTTCACTAAGTTGCTCAAGGTACCCTACCCTGCAGAAATTCATGAAGCCTTACTTCCTTAAATAAGGCAAACCCTTACAGGCTCCAAAACTGTTCAGAATGCAGGCCCAAGTTGACATCTACAGCCTAAAAAAAGAGAAAAGTAATTCATATCCTAATGACAAGCATTCACTTCAATTTTCTGTAAAAAGATGAGTGTAACCGAACAATTACATAGATGCAGGTCAGCCAGGGTGTAGCCTCTGTGTTCCTCAGGTCACGTAAAGGTAAATGAGGCACAAAGTGCTGCCCAGTTGCTGGCATCCTCCATGCAGCTGAAAAGAGGATTAAGTTGCTCCATATAACACAAGATGCAGATAGTGATTGACAAGTTCAGAGAGATGGATCAAAGTTCGTTCCTTCCTTATGCTGTGTGCGGTCATCTGCTGCTATAGATGTTTTCTTTATCAAGCATGTTTGAATTGCTTTGCAGTGATTTTTTTTTCACCCACAGTCCTTTTAACGCAATTGTAACAGAGCACCTCCTCTGTTTTTTACTACTGCCAAGCAGAATTAATTTCTTTCATTTCTGGTAAATGTCTCTGCTCAGTTAAGCATAATAAAGGGCTTGTGTTTTGGCTTTGGAGGATTTTTATCCCCCCCCCAGTATTGGGGACTGTCTGGGGACTAGTGATTACAACAGTTGCCTAAAAACAGGCAAGGAGTAGGACTATGATCTGAGAGGAGTCTCTAAGGCTGGTCTCAGGACTGCACACAAAAACCTGCAATCTCTTGTCTTGCCCTTTCAGGTTATGCAAGCACAGTTTGCTCAGGACAACAATCCAGATGCACAAACACTTCAGAAACTGGCAGAAAGAACAGGCTTGAGCAGGCGTGTTATACAGGTAACTGTGCTAAGTTACTTGACAAACAATGTGTAGTACTCATCCATTGGAAATGCTTAATGACAATATTCTCCATGTAGTTATTCTGAGATGGAAAAGGATCAAATCTGCCAGTTTTACCATCCCTTCAGACAACATCCCTAGTCAGGAATAAGTCTAGAACAAACATGTTAATTTGGAAAATTTGCTGTATTCCTCTTGCACTTTGTGTGGAGGATTAATAATCTTTCAGGAAGAAACTTCTCAGCCTAAATAATGTAGAAATGGCACTAAGTTCTTCTAAATACAAATATCTGACTTTAATAGTCTGTTCTTAAGACCTGCACTCTTTTTGAAAATGGCTCGTGGTGTGACACATTAGGAGCAAGCGAATATCTTGATGATCTGTTCTAGAGAGCAGAGTTAAAATAGATACCCATGCCATCCAAAACTGAAACACAAACTTAAAATCTTTGATTAAAGATGCCTCTTAGCAAGCATTATATGCATGCTTTTTTTATACACAATATGAATTTTTATATTACATAAGTTATATATGTTTATATAAATAAAAATAAGTTTGTAGTCCCCTTGACTCATTCTAGCCTGGAAAATTGACAGTGTTTCTATAGCAATGAGGTATCTGGCAGCTGCCATCAAGCCTTTAAAAAAAAAAAGCTTGCACACTTTTCAGTGTGGAAGGGAAAGTGGCTATCCCATGAGAAACCTGCTTCGCTGACAGCAGCGTTCATGTGCGGGGATGGCCATGTCTGTGACGCGCCCGGGGCTGCGGACGCTGCTGCTCAGCCTGGCTGGATGCCTGCGCTGGGAGCTGTGCAGCCCTTGCTGTGCCTCTCCTTCCCAGGCTGCTGGGTGCTGCAGAAGCTTTCCTGACCTGACCACGCTTGTTTGAGGCACCATGTAGGCTTAGAATGGGTATTTCTTCATTTAGACTGTTGGAGTTTTAAAGGCCTGGTTAACTAACAGAATTCAGCTGAAGTTAGAACTGTGATGGTGGTTTCATGCTGATGTTGAAACAGAATGCAATCTATCATAAGATGTAAATCTTTCCCCCTTTTCAGGTGTGGTTTCAAAATTGCAGAGCACGCCATAAGAAACATGTTAGCCCTAATCATTCATCTACTGCTCCTGTGACAGCCGTTCAACCCTCCAGGCTGTCTCCACCCATGTTAGAAGAAATGGCATACTCTGCGTACGTACCCCAGGACGGGACTATGCTAACTGCTCTACACAGCTATATGGATGGTAGGTAGAATGACTTTGCATATCCAAGTAAAATCATTATTGACTGTAGCAAGAACAGTTTACCAAGTACCGATTAAAGAAACTTAATGGCTTTTTGATTTCTAGTATTCTTTATAGAATGTCTTAATATGGTACTTGCTATCTACACCTCATTAAGACGTGTGCCTCTTCAAGCAGTAGCCCTTCACTGTTAAGAGCATAGCTGAAGATCTGGGTATGATGACCACTTTTGTGCTTCCTCCAAACTATGAATACTAGTCATAAGAAATCAAACACTTCTTTAAACATCAATGATATGTTTTTTAATAACATGTAATTTTAAGGAAAACTGTTTACCACCTGCTCCCTGGCTCTTAACCTGAGGATTGTAGGTATACTCAATCCACCAGCTTCACTGAAAACTGATGCTTCCCTCAGTTACACACAGCATGGCGAGCCTGGTGGGCAAAGTATGTTTCAGTCATTGTGTGTCTTATGACCCAGCAAGTCAACAACTTTGGCTTATGTTTATGGTCAGGAGAGACTGTGAAGGTATTGGGAGAACTAAACTGAGCCGTGTGTGTGGCCTGAACTTCTTTTTCTCCAAAGCAGTGGTGTAAGGTGGGCTGTGGGGGGAGGAGTGGAAATGCTGGGCTAGGGAAAACGGAGCATGCTGCAGTGGTTGGGACTAGTGAACTGTTACTACCCAATGGGATTTACTAGATTACAGTATTTTTCTACCTCTGAAGTTGACCCGTAAATGTTTCTGTTTTTGTAGCTCATTCACCTACAGCTCTTGGACTCCAGCCTTTGCTACCCCATTCAATGACACAACTGCCACTAAGTCACACCTAATTCCTTTCTGTCAGGGATATAAGCTATTGAGGATGTAACCTTAAGTCATTTATTGTGTATTAAAAATACCGTTGGAAAGATATTAATGTTAACTTTTTATTTAACATCTAAAGCATTTTCAAGATCATTTTTGCTGCCCAGGTATGTAAGTATATTTAGCCTGCAAGACACTTTTATGGATTCTGCATAAATAACTACTACATTGTTTACAAGCCTTATTAAACATCTTTTTGTATTGTCTGGAAGTAGTCCACTCTAGTTATGTGTGTGTTAATTTATTTGTCATCAAAAGAGCACTTTGCCTAAAAGAAAGGACTGACAATTGTGCAAAATGTTTACAATTCTTTGTGAAATTGTAGTTTATCATTAGTTTGTATCTGTAAGTTATTGCTAAAAGTATTACCTGTATTTGAGTTGTATACAGCCTATATGTTAAAGCTTATTTCTGTGAGTTTACGAAAATAAATTTTGGTTGAAATATTTTCAAAATGAACTGAATAAAGTTTCTGCTGTAGCATGCCAAGAAAAATGTTGCTGTGTTTATGGCTGAACTGTGATCATTTGTCAAATGCTTAACTTGAACCTTCTTCAGTTTTAAGAGAAGGTCCCTCACATACTTAGGTACACTACACCAAACTCTTTCAGGACTGTTCATTATCTGTCTCAATTGACTTTAAAAATCCTGTAATGGGCTTGGATGGGTCTTGAAATGCCCCAAACAGGTACTTCTTTAAAGTAAGTATACACAAAACAGTGCTACTCCTGAGGGCGCACACCTGCAGGGTGAGGGAAATGGTGGATGTATAGGACAGAACTTTAACTGTGATTAAAGTTGGCAAGTGGAGAACCCGAGTTTGCATCTTCTGTAACATTTTGAAATTTTAAAACCTCAGCTTCTGTTTTCTTCAGTGGTTTTATCTTGTGATTTTTGTTAACTAATGTGGTAACTAACATGTAATACTTAAAGAGAGTCTGCATTTTAAAAGTAAAATCTTGTTCAGTATTTTAACTGACCTGCATCAAACTACATAGGAAGAGAAACTGGAATTCAGTCAAATGCACAGAAGTCTAGTGTGTTTTTAACTGTTAATGTGCTAAGACTTAATGCAAAGCATGTTTTGATATACTGACTTGATGGACAAGGACTAGTGTGTACTATCAATTCAACTGATTTTTGTCTTCACAGACTAGTTTCCTTCAAGGATGTAAGACTGGTAGATCCCATCTGCACAGCTAAACTTTACTTGCATCAGAAGGAAATCGTACTTCTGAAGGTGTGTGTCCCTGTGTCCTTTTTTTCTTTCCCAACGATGAGTTGGTGTGTCTGCTCTGTGAAATTTCTTAACTGTCCTGGTCAAATAATTTCAATGTGGAAAAGGTAGTATTCTCCCTGCCACTATGGAAAGATGATGGCTTTTGAGAGCATAACTTTACTGGCAAGCTCCGAATTATTCAGGTTTCGAAATTAAATGTTGGCACAGTTTCAAGTGCTACTCACAGATGTCTGAGCTAATCTGAGTAGCAAAAGCATTCTATTTGCACTAGCATAGTGGTTAGTCTAGGCTAATGTTAGCCTATGGTTTTTTTCACAATACACTTAAGACATGGGGTGTTGTGGAACTTGACTGACATTTTATTCTAACATACATAACTTCTTAGTGAAGTACTCTGGGTGGAATACTGAATTCAGCATGTTGTTTTCACTACTGAATCATAGAATGCATTGGGCTGGAAGGGGCCCCCAAAGGTCATCTAGTCCAACCCCCCTGTGCAGTGATCAGGGACATCTTTAGCTAGATCAGGTGGCCCGGAGCCTCATCAAGCCTGATCTGAAGCTAGCTCCGTATATCTGTATGATACAAGACTGCATGTGTAACAGTAAACAAAGTGGGTTTTGTTCATTTGTTGGGTCTGACATGCAAGTCGGGCAGCCTTACTGCTGAAGTTTTACCGGTTGATGCTAAATAATGCTAATTTAGATCTTAACATAACTTGGCAATTTAAAATACTATTCAGTTGTCTTGTTTTAAAATGCAACTTGACTTACATTGAGTCCCTTTAAAGAAAAGTAATTATTCATTCTAATTTGAGGGAGGAAGCAGCTTCAGGTTGTCTAAGTTTATTTATGAAACGCCCCCTTCTGTTCAGTTCCAAAGTCAGTGCAAGATTAAAGTAAATGGGGAGCAATTTTCCAATTTCCCTATGAAAATAGGAAGCAGGAAAGTTCATCTTTTGCTACCATGAACACTTGGGCAGCTATTTGTGCATGCAGCTGGGAAAATGCAGAGTTGCAAATACAAAGCTCCAGTAGAGGATCTGGACTTTTGAGTCTTCCCTTTGAGCATGTCAGCCCTGTGCCACTGGCTGACTTCAGCTGCCTGCAGTGGGGGTTAGGCTGTGTGGGGCTGACAAAGCAGGTGGAAGACTGAGGACAGTTTTAGTCTGCTGCTCTCAAGTGAAGCTGTTGCTGTAGCCTGACTTGCAAGTTTGAACATGTGTCTTCTCTTCCTGGTTGTGCACTGGCCTGCATTTGTGACTTTGCTGAGCTTTTCTGACCCTGGAGCCATCCTTACTGCTGCTTGCTGTTTGAAAGATGCTGCTGTGCTGAGGACCTTCATGGGCTCTCTTTACAGGAAGAGAACGCAGCTATAGCTACAGCAGCAATGTGCCACATGCTAAGTCAGTGCCTTCTAGACTGCACAGGTTCAAATCAAAATTGGAATGTTGTATGAAACCTGCTGTAGGAGGAGGGAGAAATCCAGATGAAAAATATCCTCCTAGCGCAAACTTCACAGGATCTCTAAAGGATGCCTGTTTATTATAAGTTGGTAGTATTTCAGTTTGCAGAGTAAATAGTCTAATTCTACAGCATCTTCAAGATCTTTCAGAAATATTTCAAACTCTGCAATTAATTACTGGAATCTAGATGTTCTGAAATTCCACCTATTCACTGGAAATATGGGTTTGTGTTCACATAAAGATAAATCTGAAAAGCACTTGAGCATTCTCTAGTCTGCTTTTTACCCCAGGGCACAATGAAATACCTTAGCTACTGCTAGTGGAGACATTCTATTAATCTGCTCTTAAATGTCTCCAATAGTAGAAATTTTTACAGACTCCACAGGAAATCTGGTGCTTTCTTAGAAAAAAAAAATCCGACAGAAGACGACTCCCAGTCTTCTCCTCCCTGATAAAACAAATCCTATTCATCGAGTTTTTCATACCAAGTAATATTTTCTAAAGGTCTAATTGTTTCCATGATGTCTTCTTTGTCCACCTTTCTGAAGCATGAAACTCAGTTTTAGCCAGGCCTTACTGATGCTCAGCAGATAAGGGCAAGTTGCTCATTGCTGTGTTCCAGGATGATGACTGCTTTTCTTATAATAATGCTGCCCTCCATGCTTTGTTTGTGACCAGCTGTTATCTTGTCTCCTGTTTACCACTCTCATTATTGCACCCTAGGTAAGCAGCTTCTCTTTTACCACACTGAATTTCACCCTGCTGCTTTCTTACTGTTTCTCCAAGTTTTCAAAATCATTTTGAATTCCATTTCTGCGCTCCCTGGTACTGCCTCATTTGTGCTGTCAAAAATTCACGAATAATCTCTTCATTCCATCACCCAGGTGATTAACTACAATACTGACTAGAATCTGATCCTTCTATAATTCCAGTTCTCAAACCAGAGAATCACAGAATGTTAGGGGTTGGAAGGGACCTCAAAATATTGAACTGCTCATGACAACTTAGTTTCCAACTTCTCTCTCCTAGGTTATTTCCCTATTTTGCTTATGTCAGACTGTGACATGTGCAACTTCTTGACCACCCACACAGCTCTTGCCCCGGCTACAAAGAAGTTGAGCTGATTTGACAGTCTTATTGCTGGTGTGGTTAAGATTTTAAAATTATTGAATAAAATAGACTGAAATGAAACTGCATTATTGGATTCCCTGGCTTTCTTCTGCCCATTTCCTGGCCTCTAGGCACCATATCAATTCTTCCTTCTCCTGGTGTCTCTAAAAAATCGGAGTTAATGGTTTGAAGAGGTTGCCGTTTGGCTCAGCTGTCTTAAGAAGTGCAGCAGGCCCAAGCTACCCAAAAACGTTTAATTTTAAATCATCTAGAGAGCTTGCTTTTGTTGGCCTTGGCACTGACTGTACTAGTGACTTGTTCGTAGATTTCTTTGTATGCTTGTTTGAGGTTTTTTTGGTCAAAACTGATATAGGTGAAGGTCTAGTTTGGCCTTTTGGTATTCGCTGGCTATAGTTTTGATTCTGAGTAACAGATCAGTACTAGCCATACTCCTGGCCGGCTTTCTTAATGAAGGTATACAATGCTGGTTTTACCCTTGCTGACATTTGCTAATGCTGCCTGATTTTGTGAGTTGGCTTTTTGTCCAAGTTTTTTGCAAGTTCAAAAACTTAACTTCTGTCAATCCAATTCTGTGTATTACTGTTCTTGCCAGGTAACTTTTAACTCTTGCTCGTTCTGCAATTAAAAATGAAGTGTCATACGGGTCACTAACAGCATGATAACCAAGCTTTGTCCAAAAATGAACACAGTTTAAATGAAGAGCAGAATAAAACCTGAATTGGTTTAGTTAATTTCTGAAAATCCACAGCTTAGTTGTGTGTGGCTGAGTCTCCAGAATAGTGACACCAAGGGACAGAGAAAGACAGTGCAAGATTAATAATGAAACACAAACTGCCTCTGTGTTGAAATAAGCTGATTTATACTGAAGTATATGTTTGCACATTTTAACTCTCCTATTTCCTTTTAAAATAAAACAAATAGTTACAGAAAATATACCAATGTGTTAACTCTCTCTTTCATGTGTTCTTGGGTCGAACATGAGAGAACAGGATACTGTAGTGGCTGTCTACCATGCTACTATGTACTTTTAACTGGCTTTAATACACAGTAATGAAATGCGATTCTAATGTTAATTTTAGACTGTAACCTTCTGTTGTCTTATGTAGCTATCTTGATCTCAAGCGGAGTAGTTTTTCCTTTAAGTTATAATAGGATGCCTTTCCAGTTAGAGGTGAGGTTGTAACTAAGTGCTCACCATGTGAAGAAATGATGAATCCAGAACACATTCTGAGCAAGGTAATATTCATGGAGCCTCTCTGTTCCTGGGGTTTAAAAGAACAGGGAATACTGCAGGTACTTACTGTGTGCTTTCATCAGTGACTAAAATTTGAAAAAGCAGGTATGTTTGGGATTATGTGGTTTAGAACAATCTAATCTCAAACTCTGGAGGTCTACATTTGTTCTGAGACCACCACTTTAAAATTGTTTACATATTTTCCCAGTAATTCTGGTAGTAATAACTGCAAGACAAATGTATGATAGCTATTTTTCTCTCCTGAGGGGCAAGGATTATTGTAGACTGACATACTGTATAAACTGAAGTTAAAGGAAAATACTTAGAGTAATTTTTAGTTCTTCTATATATGCTATACTAACCCCCTATCAAATACTTTCTACGTTCTATTTTAAAGAAATTATGCATCATGAGTAGTAC